AAAGATGGAGTTGTATGTAGGCCGAACTCTGTTGGTAAATTGAAGGTCTCCAAAGCTGTGCTTCTACAAGCTTTAAACAACTGCTCATCAAAAAAAAAAAATGCACTAGATTTGGCCCTGGCTTGTGTAGCTCAGTGGATTGAGTGCGGGCTGTGAACCAAAGGGTCACCAGTTCGATTTCCATCAGGGCACATGCCTGGGTTGTGGGCCAGATCCCCAGTGGGGTGCATGTGAGAGGAAACCACACATTAATATTTCTCCCTTTCTCCTTTGCTTTCCCTCTCTCTAAAAATAAATAAATAAAATCTTTAAAAAATGCACTAGATTTGAATTCTTTGGATGCTTCTTAAAAGCTCTATTGGCTCTTTAGCAATAGACACAAAAATCAATGACACATGTCCTTGAAGAATAAAAGCTGAAACACTTTCAGCTTTGCCAAGTGAAGATTTTGCTGAAGAGTTCCTCAGAGTGTGGTTGATATTTAGCATTCTTAAGTGAACTCTTAAGCTCTGGTGCAATATAAATACATGTAACTTAGTGGTGGTGACTGGAGATCCCATTCATCTTGGTACCTCTCTCCATTCTGTATTACAACTAAATGGCCTCTAATAAATCATACTGGTTGGAAAGTCCTAGTAACTGTAATTATCACTTACCAGAACTGTTAACATATTGGTGCCTTCTGGGTGGGTCAATATCTGAGGTGATGATCTCTTGAAAACTGTTACAACCTGTAAAGAAATGAAAAATTTCCCAAAGGGTGAAGGATGCAATGCTATGGGCTGAATTGTCCTTCCCTCAAATTTGTATGTGGAAGCTACAGTCCCATTGTACTTGGAAATGGGGCCTTTGGGAGGTTATTAGGTTTAGCTGGGGCCACCAGGGAGGGGACCCTCTGATGTGATTAGTGTCCTTATGAGAAGAGACATGGAAGAACTTGATTCCATGCCCCCCCACACTCTCTCCACCTGCCCTCACTGCCAGTTGGATAGAGGGAGAAGGCTGGTGTGTGAAACTCAAGGACACAGCCCTCAGACACTGAGCCTGTGGAAGCCTTGATCTTGGCCTTCCAGTCTCCAGAACTGTGAGAAATAAATCCCTGTTGGATAAGTCATCAAGCCTTAAATTTTGTTAGGGCAGCCTGCACGAAACGAGATACGTAACATACTGGAAAGGGATGAAATTGAGCACCAGAAACCCTGGCTCACCTCTTTTCCTTGCTGAACCTCCCCTCGCTCCCAATACCACGAGGTCATTATGAGAATCCTGGGAGAGGAAGTTTCTGAAAGTGTTGTGCAAACGGCCAAAAGAATCGCTATTTAGCTTTTTCCTTGAAGATCTTTAGTTTCATGATTCAAATAATGTGGTGTTGGGAATCTGCCACTAAAGTGAAATCCAAAAATTGTCTAGAAAAAAAAAATGAAAAAGAAGTAGGTTAAGAATACTACAAAGTGATTTTGTTTAAAAATGCTGTAGGGTTTAACACACACACACACACACACACACACACACTGTTTTAAGTGAATTTTTATGATTTGTTTTAAAAAAATCTGAAAGTTTCCTCAATTTTGTTTGAATTCTTGTTAGAACCCATGAAAAATTATTATAATTCTATTTATTTGTGTTATGTGGCTATTTTATAGCCTTTGTTTACTTCTATTATATATTCTATAATATTTCTATGATATTTGGGAGCTAATAAATTGGTATACAGAATCTGGCAAATAATTAAGAAAGTAGAGCACTAAAATACTTTGGCCTGAAGTGAAAAATACCTACTTCTCAGGCTTCAACTTCTCCTGTATCATCACAAAGAGCCCCTGGTGGCAGCATGCAATCCTTTAGCCCAGCTCTTATGGACAATTTCTTCTGATTTTTTAAAATAGTGCTTTATTTTGGAGCAGACTTAGATTTATAAGAAAATTCTGAAGCTCGTACAGAGTTTCAATAACCCCCACATCTAGTTTCCTGTTGTCAACATCCTAACAGCAGTATGGTAGATCCAGCACAATAAACAAGCCAATACTGGTAGCTTACCACTAACTAACGTCCACATTTTATTCACATTTCTTTAGTTTTTACAGGATTTTCTTTTTCAGCTCCAGGATCTTACATCACGTTTAGTCATCCTGTTTCTGTAAAGCGCCTCTTGGCTGTGACTGTGACTCAGACTTTCCTTGCTTGTGATGACCTGACTGTTGCGAGGAGCACTGACCTGGTGTTTTGTAGAATGTCCCTCAGTTGGCATTGGTCTGAATGTTTTCTCATGATTAGACTGGGGTTGTGGGATGTTGGGAAGAAGACTCATCTAGACATTTTAATTACTTGAGTTTGGGGATATTCTAGTGGAGAGTTAGATAATTCTCTGACATAGGGAAAAATATTTTGGCCTGAAGCAGCACGGTCCACAGTGGACAGCACACCATTAGGAAAGTGCTACAAATACCAGAGAACCTTCCAGCAGAGTCTGTGTTCTTCTCCTCAGAGGCTTACCTAATCCCAGGGTGCCACGAATTGCCACACGTCTGTCCGCTGTCTTCAGTCCGTTCTTTCTGAAGACTTTCAACACAACCTTCTGTACTAAGTTTTCTGTGGGGAAAAGACTTCCAGTTTTTAATGGAATTTAATAGGAAAATAGTATACATTTTATAGAACTCCCTTTATAAGCAACATTACCGAACTATATTAGGTACCTGAAACCTTCAAATTATCCTGAACATAGTGCATGAGTAAGTCCATGGGATTTACGTGCTGACGAGACTCCTGTAACTCGGCTGCTGACAAGGATTCCTCTGCTGGGAGAAGAGTCAGGTTAATGGAGTCTCTGGACACCAAGCACCTGGGATGTTGTTAAAAGTGAGTGGCAGCCATAGCATCTAGAGTTTGGTCATTCAGGACAGGCTGGTCCTGCAACTCAGGAGCACTGAGTTTGAATTTCAGTCTAAGAAACTGCAGGAATCCTGAAATACTCCTCCTAAGAATTAAGTACCTTATTTTTCCCCACAAATACTATGCTAGTTAGTAAAAGGAAAAACAATTTTCCAAAGACAGAAAAAATATAAATGTTATATAATATTGTACACATATGTTCTCTTTTTTTTACAGTTGACAAAAATGCTTTAATGTCTGTGAGCACTTAGTTATTTAATTCCTTTATAATCCCACCATAATCTTTATCATTATTCTGTCTGTGCAGGTATAACAATAATAGTTCACACTTACCTGGAGCCTGTATTTTATATATTTTATCCTATTTACTCTTATCTGATGTAGATACTCACTGTCCTCTTCTATAAAGGAGGAAATTGAGGCTTAGAGAAGTTGAATAACTTGCCTAAGAATGCACAGATAAAGTCAGAATCTGAATTCAAGGCACGAACTTTTTGGCTTCAAAGTCTCAGCTCCTACTGGGTTAAACTACCTTTATGTCAATAATCTATTTCAAAACGCCATCTGTGAGAGTAGGGATCACATCTTTTAATAGTTGGAACCTCACAATTACTTTCCATCTACATGGCACATATTTAATAATATTTGAAAGTAAGGAAGAGGGTGATATATTATTACTACTGATTACTATTGTCAAGGTAAAAAAATCAAATTGTCTCATCCTTACTGACTTGAAGGCCAACAATAAGATAAGGAAGCCAACCACACCATCCCTCCAGGGCCACGCTGGGAAGTGCCACGGTGGGTCAGGACGCAGGGGAAAAGGGAGGAACTAAGGGCAAGAGCCGTTGCTGTGGTTTTCACAGGGAGGAATGGGGGAGCAGGGGAAACAGGCTGAGGACTGGTTAGTCTGAATAATTTCGCAAGGCTCTGGTGTACAGGGGCTGTGCCTGGTTGCCTGGTACGTGGCCCTGGGGTGATCAGGGCAGGTGGACTGTGAGACCCTGACAGAGAGGTGGTTGGTGTGTGGGCTCTGGATTGGTTGGCTTATGTTTGAAAGGCACTGGTGGTCAAGTTGTTTACCACCATCTCTGGGAATTGGCTGACCCTGGGGCATGTAGGCCCTCCAAGGTCAGCAAGACCCTAAGATGTCAAAGCATCAGAATGCAGAAAATAAAAGACATAGTGAACACACTCCAGCTAGAGGGTGTTTGTCCATTCTAGCTTGGGAAAAGCAAACAAATGTACCCATAAGCCAGGTAGACGTATCCAAAGCTCATTCAGCTGTGAAGAATTGGGAAGGGCCTAAATGCCCCCTGTCACAGAACCCCTCAGTGCACAGGGGGAAACAAAGGAAAAGAAAAAAATCAATGAGCCCTGGAAAATCAAATGCAACTGTCCCGGCCTAGATTGCTTGGGGAGCCTATAAAGACTTGTCACGAGCTACAGCTTCCCTCCTTGCAGGAGTGCAAATCCCAGTGCACAAAAAGTTTAGTGTCCATCAAACACTACAAAGTAGAGTTGCAACTATTTTTCTTAAAATCCATTTCATTAGCAAGGTACCTCATGTAGTACCTGTGTAGTGCACACACGCACACACAAACACACACATAGCACCAGTTTGCCTCAATGTGAGCGCAGCATCAGACACCACCCACCCCTCCCGCCAGCACACACCGCATTGCAGGCTCTCAGGTCTATGTTTAGTGGTCCTACATGCAGACGGCTGAGCAGGCCTTTTTGCTTTCTCCAAAGCTCTGAAATCTGTGAAGACAAAGTAAAGCTGGACCTGCCTATTTAGACCTCACAGGTTCCTTAACACCAGAAGCAGTATTTTCAAACCCAAGAGTACTGATGCCTCCAGGAAACATCTTCATGGTCATGGCAAAGGCGACCCCACATTATCCCAAGTTTCAGCAAACACTTTATTCTTCTCATCGATGTCTCAAAACTGTTGGAGGTCAAAGGCTGATGAGTCCTTTGGCCAGAAATGTGGGTGTTTTACAAAAAGAAGAAAGAAGTTTGTTATACAATTATACAAATGTAAGGTTCTGTTGGCCATATTTCTGAGTATTTTTCCTCGGCTAAGTCCCCAACCAGACTTGAAGAAATTAGGCGCAGTGTCAATAGAAGTAAAAAAAGTAATCTGTAAAAAATATTCCAGCCAAACAAGGGTCTGTTGAACAGTCAGATAAATCCTTTCAGAACAGGAGAAAAAAAGAGAATTATTAATGTAAAAATGGACTGTAGTAAAACTGTATTTATTTATTTACTTTCCTCACTGAAAAGTGAAAAAAAACAAAGCTTACTGGTGCAGCTACGCAGAGATGGTACGTGCTATCGAAGAACCGGGCTACAGGGAGGTTCCAGAGGTGCTGATCTCCCTACATAATGAATGGAAAGGGGATCCATTTCACAACCACGTTTCACACTGCACTGCAACCCTGCAGGCCGAGAAAGCACTTCTTTGACTACTGTAGGACAGGTATTTCTGACATCAGCTTTTGATAAGGATGGCTAGAACTGTCTGAAGCTTCTGAAAGATGCACGGAAGATGCCGAGCAAAGCCCGGGGGCCAGGGTCAGCCATCGGGGGAAACCATGGCATGTGGCTTGTGGCGTCTCTCTCTTCATAGGGGGGCAGAGGCTGCATCACAATTCTACACACACGTCTCCTGGAACGGGGGTGTAATAGCAAGGAGCCAGAAAACATTACCTGCAGTCTCCTGGGAGACTTCTCTGTAGTTCCGCACCCCTTCAGCTTCCCTTTTCCTCTGGAAACATATACTTCCGAAGGTGGATCTGCACTGGAGACTATCAATGGCTCTGTTGTGCTTCAAAAAGACAAAGGAAAGAAAGGGCAAATGGAAAAGGAGCTGCCACCTCCTGCCAGGCTACACTTCAATAAGAGGGAACATAATATCCTGGAAATCCATTCAAGGTTCCCAACACGCATTTTATTACATGAAGCTCACCAAGGCCAGTGCGCCAGCTCACAACTCATTAAAACAGGAAGAAACTCGATCTGAGCTGACTCCTGCGGTGGACGGAATGTTTGTGCCCTCCCAAATTCATAGATCGCAATCCTAACCTCCGGTGGGACAGGGTGGAGTCTTCCCTAGTGAAACTCGTGCCCTTGGGAAAGGGACCCCAGAGCACTCTCAGCCCCTGCCAGGTGGAGACACGACGAGACGACCATTTATGAAACAGGAAGCAGCCCCTCACCGGACACCAAACCTGCTGGTGCCTTGACGTGGGACTGCCCAACCCCCAGAGCAGCGAGAAATAGTTGTTCGTTGTTTAAGCCACCCAGTCCATGCTACTTTTGTCATCGCGGCCAAAGGACTGAGGTACCATATAACAGTCTCTACAACCTAACCCCATGATTCAAATTACTTTAACGTCAGAACTTCTCTCCATAGATTGTATAATAATTTGGGGCTATATTCCTTCCCTTTCCACCGCAGCTAAATTTGCATCTGTCTGAAGTTTCCAGGACTTTGGATTCTGCAAAATCCTGCTCTGGACAGATCTGGCAGCAAGGTTAACAAACACAGGGAGGGACAAGGGGGTGAGACCTGTCAGAAGTGACCAGGCTTTAGAGCCAGCAGACAGAAGGCTGCCAGAAAGAGTGGTTTTCTCCAGAGGTCGGCCCATTGGTCATCACCAAGAAGATGAGATTCATCTGTGTTTGGAAACCATCTTTCTGCGTGAGTGGGACAGACCTATAATGTCATTTGAGCCTCTGCGTTATTTTAAAATTACCCATTTTGGAAAAATGGCCACTTTAGTGGCTCAACATGAATCTTCTGCCACTTCAAGGGATTTACCATTTAAGCTTATTTCCCTCCACTGAAGCTAGGCGTGAATAAGGAAACGCTGTTTCAGGTTACTCAGGGAGTGCTAGAGAAGAGTAGTACATTTAGCTCATAAGAATGGTACATTTAGCCTTTGCTCTGCCTTGAATTATGGTGGGTTCTGAGTCATGAAATATTAGCGGCTGGAAACAAGCCTTTCCAAGGCAAGCTGGGTGGGGGAGGGATTGGTGAGCGACATCAGCTCCTTGTAGAAGCAGAGCTGATGAGAGAGGCGTCTGAAGCCTGAGCGAAACAGGGGGAGAGGCGGAGTGGGGGGAATGATGGAGGAGGAGCAGCAGAGCTGGGGAAGCAGGAGGACAGAGGGGAGAAAGGAGGAAATGTGGAGGGAGCAGAAAAGGAGAAACTAAACTCAAGAGACAAAAGATGAAAACCGTTTATCTTCATGGTAGGCGGTAGCCCCTTGCATACTTTTTGAGGGAACTGGGTCAAAAGCCTTAAAGTTCCATAGTTAATTAAAATTGATAGGAACAGTTTTGTGATTCTGGAGGGAAGGCAGCCATAAGAAGAGCTCCCGTTTATTGAGTGCCCGCTATGTGTCAGGGATGGGCAATGCTCTCGCCTGCCTCATCCCATTGGGAAGGCGGGGAAAAGGGGGCTGAGTTGGAAGCCCAGCTCCACCTCTTACAAGCTCTGAGTTTCATGATGAGTATTCTGACCTCTCAAGACCTGCGTTCCCATCTGAAAAAATATAAACTAGAGAAAGCAATACCAACCTTGGAGGGTTATTGTGAGAACTAGATGACCCAGTACTAAAGCATACAGTGTCTGGCTGACAGTCTCTGCTTGGCAAGCGGTAGTTATTAATCTCGCTATTATTAACAGCGACCTCCACAGCTGCTCTACTTGTTATGGTGTAACATCAAACTCATTTTATAGATGAATAAACGGTAGTTCAGAGGGGATAAGTGGTTTCTCCAAGATTTACCGAACTGGTGAGTGACAGAGACAGATTTGAACCCTGGTCTGCCCAGTGCCCAACTCTGACTCCGTTTGCTCACTCCCCTGGGGAGAGGGGGTGGTGTGCCCATCAGCACTGCCAGCACGAGCTCCCCACTGCTCAGCGCCTCCTCCCAGGGCTGTGCTCTCGCTCTGGTTCTCGCCCCAGTTCAAAGGGATGCAGCCAGGGGCAGTGCGCAGCTTGTGGGCTGGCACCAAACCCAAGGTCACTTCCCCTTGCAGGTGTGAGGACACAGCCTAGGGCCTCTCTGGCCCACCGGAGGGAGGCAGCCTGGGAGGTCCCGCCTGCATTGGGAAAACCCTTCCCTGAGCTGCTCTGCCTCTCGACCCAACCACTGCTGGGCGACAGGGACTGACAACTTTCCGCCTCCTGACTTCCTGACCGGATTGTAAAATAAATTCAGACTGGCTATTCAAACCTTAATAAAAATGGAGTTGTTTTTTACAGCAACACACTTACCTGATTTCCAGAGAGAATCTGACATTGCTGGGTGCGTGCTTATTAACAGGAATATCAAAATTGTAATTTCCAGACCTAATTATAAACAAAATAAAACCGCAAATCAACATATGCAGGAAATGTTTCAAAAGGCTCTTTGCTATTTATTATATACTATGTAGAGTAAAATATTCTACAATAAATACATAAGACCAAAATTTAACATGGTGTCCTTTTGTGTTTTTCAGAGACCTGTCAAATCGCAATGTGATTTCTTTCAGGTCTTAATCTACAAAATATACCACAGAGGTTTATAGTTTGTCCTAATACACACAGTAATGGAAAGTCAAATCCCAGGCCAAGTGCATAAAACTAAACACAAAGGAAATAATCTCAGTTCCCCTAAAGAGATACAGATTTCTGAAGGCAAATGGGACAAAGGTCTCGAACTAACAGTTCCTCTGGAGAAGAGTGTTGGGAACGGAAAATGCCTGCTTCTCTACTGCAAACCTCTCCCTGTTAGGAAACATTAGCAGGAAATATCTTGTACTTTCAGAACTTGAACCAACTAAAACTACTATAGTCCTAATTACCACTTGCTAATGGGGATCATGGCAAGACAGAAATGCTCACACAGAGATTTCTTCCTCCACCTCTTTAAAGAGAGAAACTTGGGGAAAAGCGGGAGTTGCTTTAACTTCATACTGAAATGAACACTCTAGCAAAAAGGCTTATCATATTTAAGTTCTCATGAGCCAGTCAAACTTTAAATTCTATGCAGAAACAACTTAAAACCAGGTAAATGGGAACAATAGCCAGTCATTTTAGACTCTCCTTAATGGATGCGAACAGTAAGTTGCTAAAAATGAGAATCCGGAGGTAAAGGACAGAGGCCTGCATGGGGTCAGCAGAGCTGCACTTGAGGGGAGGAAGCTTACTTAGCTGAACGGAATTCACTTCCGGCTCCGTTCCCCCGACTTCCGTGCACTTCATGGCAGCCCCACTGGGTAGATGAGAAAGGATGTGCAGGGAGAATAAACCCCTTGTCCAAGTTCTGGAATTTAAGCCTGAGTCATCTTACTTTTCTTCATTATGTCACTATACTGCATTAATTAATGTCTGTCCCTGGCTTTTCCAAGTTTACTGAACCTCAGGCTCCTTAATGGCAAAATGGGGATAAATAATACCAGCCTACAGGGATTCCGTGAGAACTTGATGAGATAATAAATATAGAGGTCATAAACACATCAAAAAGCACCATGCTGTTCATTCATTTTTAAGACTCGGGACCATCAACGGGAAGCCTAAGTTATATCAGGTTGAAAAGAAATAAGGCTCAGAATCCATAGGATTTGTGACATGAGTTTCAAAACATAGGGCCTTGTTTTTAACTTAGCAGGCATTTTGGTAAATATTTATCAAAGAAAGAACAATCCCTCCCATTCTTAATGCCTACCTCTTGCACAGGGTACTTGCTGAAGCCATTTATGCTCTATGCTCTAGGCCCATCATAATTACCTCTATACAGGTGATACAGCACACACTAGAGATGGATGCTGCTGATAACTTTTCCAGTACATGGATTTTTTCCCCTCCTACCTGAAAAAGCTAAGATAAGCTACATTTTGTTTCAGCAATTAAAATAATGACATCCCTTGCTATTTAAATATACCAGCGTCAGCTCGCTCATAACTTGAAGCCATTGGTAACAATGTCTTTCTTGTCTATAAAATTAACTAGCAGCTCTGCACCTCAGGTTCGTTCCTTCGGAGAGTCAGCCACAGAGCTCCCCCTAAGCTTTGTGCTTTAGTGAACCCACTAAACCAGGAGACCGGGAACATTGGAGCGGTGGTTGATTGACCATTGGTAACACCCGCCTAACACCAACCGTGTTTATGATTCTCTCTCCCACCCTGTAACAATGTAACAAGTGTGCTTTCACTTAAGGCGCAGTGAAAACACACACTGATTTTACCGCGTAGCTTTACCTTTCATTCCAGTCTCAAAAACCCAGCTCCCTGAGTAAATTCCAGGAAAAAATGGGGTGTAAGGGGGAGGCCACACTGGAGCCTTCTACTGCAATACCGACCATCTGTTATTTGCTGGATTTCCATAATCTGAATAGAACTGATAGTTATATTGATCCCTGGATTGGGAAGAAATAGGGAAAAGAGTTGACTCTTCTGCAGAGGAAAGAGTACTGAACTCTATCTAGCAGGAAGTTCAACTTTCAGAATGCAAATAAGAGTTTCCTAGATAAATAAACTTCATTTGCATTCAATGGAAAAAGAAGGAGGAGAGGGGAGGGGAGAGGGCATTTTTGTTGTTATAGTGAACTTCAAGAAAACAAACAAACAAACAAAAAAATCCCAGGTTCCAACAGACAGCCTCATAGTATCCAAAAGAATTTCTGGAACCTGAAAGTCCTATTAAATTGAAATTCATTAAAAATGCTCTTATAAATGAGAAAACAGACTAAAAATACAGTCAGGAGATTGGAAGAAAAGGGCAGAAGTTCACATAAATGATCGATGTCCATGGAGCTCGTCCACCGTTTGTCTGGCGATGGAGCAAGTGTTTCTAACGCGCCCCTCACGGTCAGGCCGGCTTCAAGTGTGAAAGCGGAACCCTGGCTGTCTGTCCCGGTCCCTCACTCCCAGAACTACAGCTTGTAGTTGCCCTGCCTGGCTCCCCAACTCAAAGAACAGAGTCTCTCAAACTTAAGCTTACAGTCACTTGCCAGGTTGGGGCTGGTTAGCTCATCTCCTGCCCAGAATGGCCTGCGTCTGTCTGCTGCGGGGAGGCAGGTTTGTCAGTGTTGAAAGCTTACTCAGGATGAGAAGAACCGCCACGTGAGCTGTAGTCTGTCTCTGTCCATGGGTGGTTCCCCCACCCTTCTCGCACCCACCTTTCAGCCCATCCTATCCCTGCCACATTGCTTACAGAAGACTCTCATATTTTCCGAGAGGTTGTCTGCCTTGAGCTAAATTGTGACCTCCCAATTCTTCGGTGTAAAATCCTGCCCCCTAGTACTCAGAATGTGACTGTACGTGTAGGTAGAGCCTTTAAAGATACGATCAAGTCCAGATGAGGCTGTTAGGTGAGCCTCAACCCAACCTGACAGCTATTCTCATGAGAAGAGGAGATTCAGACTAAGATGGTGCGTGCGTGGAGGGGAGACGCTGTAAGGACACAAGGAGAAGAGGCCCTCTGAGAGCCAAGGAGAGAGGCCCCGACAGAAGCCAGACCTGCTAACACCTTGATCTTGGATGGCGAGCCTGCAGAACTGTGAGAAACTAGATTCCTGCTGTTTAAGTCACCCGGGCACCGTATTTGGTTATGACGGTCCCAACTGACCAAGACGCCATCCCAGGTTACAGCAATGATGCTCACGCTCCCTCTGTTCTGATGCCATAGCATTTGTTATTGACTCTCCTGTGTGGTGACCCATCAGCGGTACATTGATCACTACGCACGGGGCACGTTATCTCTATTCTTGACAGCTCCACAATAGGGAATCTCTACTGTTTTGGAATCCTCTCTAGCTCTTGCATAACATGATTCACACAGGAGTGAATCGAGCGTAAGGGATGAACTGAAGAGAGGAGTCAGATCCGTGGTGTGCAACAGGAGCTTGCCTGTGGGAAAGGAAGCTGGGGAAGTGGGTGTGATCCATCATCGCCAAAAAGGCATTTTAAATGCGGTTTTGAAAAGGTTACCATTCAGATGATTATTATTAAGGCTATGGGGGAAAATGTATCTTTTTAAAGTGGATAGTGAAAGCAATCATTTAGTGGGTTGCTCAACAAACCTCACAAAAGAATTTTTAAAATTTTGCAGCATTTTTTTAAATTTGCAGGTTTTTTCAAGTATTTGTACCCCTTATTGCATTTCTTCATTTGCATTAAACAATACAATTTCATATTTTTCAATATAACTTTGGAGAAAATACCAAGACATTAACCTCCTTTAACTAGAGGTAGAAGTTAATACAATGTATGCTTTGTATATTCTTTCATGGGGAGAAAAAAAGGCACCATCTAAAATAAGTTTCCATATGGAATTTCCGAATAAGAAGAAGCCAAAGCGACAGTGGACATTCGTTGGGGCAGTCACTCCTAAGTCTCTCTGTCCTGACTAGTACTTCCCACTCCAGCGGATGGGCTGCTGCACTTGTCCGCTCACCTAACTGTGAGCTTCTGGAAGACGGATCTCCCTCACTGTCGTATCTTCACGTAAGGCAAGGCCAGGCTCAACTGGGGGTGCTAATAAATATTTGTGGGAGGGTGGAAGGGAGACAAGAAAAGACCAATCAAATACCTTCTAGAAAAGTGTTTCCTCTTGTACACTTCAAGGGGAAGTTCCCAGGAACCACTGTAGAGGGATGCTGGCCGTGGGCTTGGGAAGCTGAGCCCCTTCGCCCTGTTAGCAAAGGGGAGTGAGACAGAACTCAAAAGGCAAGGCAAGTTTCCTGGGCATCCTCTCCAACACGGTGCTTTCCATGAAGAAGGAATGATCTTGATACATGAAGATTTTCTAGAAAAGTAAATATTTATTTCCCTTTAAATATAAATGTACGTGCTATCTAAAAATGCCTCCAGATTGCTTGGATTCCAGCTACTCCAATAATAATTTTCAAGCGCATGTCTCCTGCCCTGAGTGTTCTTGTGACTGCTTCTACAGAAGGCTGCGACTTTACAAGGCAAATGAGGCAGAAAGAGAAGGGGAAACCAGAACCTCTCCATCCCTGTTTTCTTCCCCTCTCTTCTGTTCTACTATCTTGTGGAATTTGCAGGAAAGGGACTCGTTGTAAGTTCCATAAATAGAACTACACAGCTGCCTCACTTCCACAGCATCGAGTTCTTAGGTTCCTGAAGACTAGAACCCAACGTTAGGATTTAGTATCTGATAACAGGTTTTCTTTTAACAGTAAAAAAAAAATGCAAAGTGGAGGAGAAATCGTCTTGCAGATTTAGAAGGACAAAAATAGCTTTCGAAAAGCAGGATTGGAAACATCAAATTTTAAATCTCCTATAAAACACCTCCAATTTGTCACTTCTCTGAGGCAAAAACAACAACAAAAAAACCCCAAAAACCCACTATTCCATTCTGAAAGGTGGCTATTAACAAACCAGGAATGTTCCTGTTGTCACCCACAAGTGGCTCTCACTTTATTACGTGCCTTCCAGCAACACTCTCTATAAACCTAATACACACCGCCTGCGGCTTTCAGTGTAAAGTCGAAGGTATGTTTCATGATCGGTGGGTAAGATCGCTCCATAAGCTACATTAGAGCTCCCGGAGGGGGATGGGAGGCGGACCGCACCCGAAGCATGCGTCGCGGGGGTAGACGGTGTGCACCGCACCACCCGCAGAACCGCGCTGCCGGCCGAGCCCCAGCACCGCACCTGGGCACCTCTTTCCTTCCTGACTGAACCAGACTCGGGCCAAGAAACCAGCCAGTAAGCCCAACCGCACGATGACCGAGTCCTTTAACACAGGGAACCGTTTTCTTCTGGCCATTTGCTCTTCTTAGAATTCTGGTCTCCAAAACAAAATAAACGTAAATTCCAGATGCCTTTTTGCTTTGTGAGATTTTAAAAAGATCTTTACCAAATCTCTACAAATCTATAACATTCCCTAGATCCACCCACACACACACATACACAGGTCCTTTACTTAACATCGAACGCTGCTCTTTATTTACATCTTAATTGGTTCCATAGAATCGGACCTAGTCCAGTTGGTTCCGCAGAGTAGAAGTTCAAAACACCCACTATCCTCTTGCAGCATAGACTTACCCAAGCCTTTTATAAAACGGGGAGCGAAGGGGTAGCCTTTCTGAAAGACACATACACGTAGTCAACGTAGGCCCAGGGAAGAATCGTGGCCTGAGTGCAGCACATCATAAAAGTGCTGATTTTCTTCACTTCTTTTACTAGCAGTTCTACTCTTCAGGGAGGAGGCTCATGAGTGTGTTCTGGGAGCTTGGTAAACGGTGACGTTGTGACCTTCATCCCACCGAGAGCTTGCTTTTGCAAGCTTTTTTGTTTTAGCCCTTGAATTTGTTTTTTATTTTTATTCCTTAATTTTTCATTGGTCTTCAATGTTTCAGAAACGACTGGTTGAAAACAATGTTTGCCCGGCTCTTTCCTCTTTTGGGTTTAGGGCCCCCAGTGTGATGGGTTCCCCAGCGGAGGGAAAACACGGATCTCAGCAAAAGAGAAGTGCCTTTCTTCAGGCATCATCACACACCACACACATCTCCACGGCTAGAGGCAAACTTGGGGGGGGGGTTGCTGACGGGGCTTTTGAGCACCACAGAGAGAGCACTTTCTGCATCTCCCGGAGTCGATCCCAGCCGCACACACTGCACGCACTGTGCCTGAGTAAACCGTGGCCGAATCGGAAGGAGAACCAACGTGGGAGACCCGCTCCAGTTCCAGCTGGGAGAGTAACTGACTGCAGGGCCTCAAGCAAGGTCCTGGGCCTCCGTGTCATTGGCCGTAAAAGGAGTAGGCTGGCTTGAGTGACAGGCTCTCCTGGCCTGAGGACTTCAGAATTTCAGGTGATTTCACAAAGTGCATGTGCCTGTGCTCTGGAAAAGCGACACCCCTGCCACAGACGAGTAGTGTTTGCAAATGTCACCATTGGATGAACAAAAACAACTAATTACCAATTTAACTGAGTTTTGAGTTACCTTCTCCCTCAACACATGATCTCAGCCAAATCACTGTAAAAATACAATGAATTCATGACACATTCTTGGGGGTCAGTCAGAGTGCCACCGCTACAGCTGCTCTCTGACATTCTGTGATTCCTCATCCCCCCAAAACTTTCAGGTTTCCTGGAGGTGAAAGTAAATAGAACATTCACATTCTTTCCATTTTTCTCCACTCGAAGGAGGGAAAAGGGAACAACTTCTCCAGCCAGTCAGGGAGTGGAGTAAAGCAGAGCTTAACTTTCACTTTCAGCTGAGAAGCTGACTGTGGTGTCTCAGAGGACACAGCCAGCCACCAGAGCAGCTCTGCTTTCTCCAGGAGCCTCTTCAGGGTCTCCCACCTAAAGGACAGGTAAGATGAGCACTCACTGTCCCAGCAAAGAGAGTGACAAGACTGCCAATGGAGAGCTGGTGGCTACAGCAGTGAGTTTGCTCAAAGGTCAAGGAACTTTGAAAACGACACCTGGATCATCCATGACCTCTTTCTAGAGCGAGTCTGCTGTGACCAGTATTTCTCTCCTGGGTAAGGCAATCTCTCCTGAGGGCTGCTCTCAGAACAGGACACCCAGTGTCCCCAAGGTGGACTCCCAAGGTAAGAAAAGGATTCAGCAGCCACAAGGTTTCATGTGTTTCCACAAGGGATGGTGACTTTGGGTGTTGAAAGCTGTTGAGAACACGATGACTGGAACAAGTTCCTCCCTTCAAATGGAACCTTTATCCTCACCCCGTAGTGATGCATGTTCCCAGTTCAATCAGAAACCGCTTTCGTGAGAAGAACATGGCCTCCTGGAGAAGTGGGGGAAACTCTCTGTGCATAAGCATCCTCGTTAAGAAAATGGGATAATAGCTGCCTGTCTTTTAGGCTTGTAAACATTAAAGGATTTATTTATGTTGACCACTTAAGACAGCGCCTTACACATAGTAAACATTTCGTTACATGAAGATGATGGTGATTTGTAAAAGTTACTTATTCAAGACTAGGATAAGAAATAATATCAAAAGGAAAAAGAAAGTACACCTTCACCCCAAAACTTCCACTGCTGACCATATTCTACATGTCAGTCACTAGGGCTGCTCAGAACTTTTTCAGTTCATCTTCTCCCTGATGCATGTGACTTCTGCATTTCCCCAACTGCTTTGAAATTAGACACAACCAAGGTCACTTGTTGTTAACATAGTGTCCTATACCAATACTACTTACTGCTATTATTTGCATCATCATTATTAGAACTTTAGACACTTAATATGTGTGTTTAGATTTCTAAAACCAGTAGTATATTAGCAGACATTTGGATGTATTGTATTTGATCTTTTTACACCTTTAGCCCTTGTTCGAGTTTCCATGTTTTCTTTAACATAAAATTCTGTTACTTAGAAGGCATCTCTGGTCTGGCTGGTGTAGCTTGGTGGATTGAGGGCTGGCCTGAGAACCAGAGGGTCACTGGTTTGATTCCCAGTCAGGACACATGCCTGGGCTGCAGGCCAGGTCCCCGGTTGGGGACGTGCGAGAGGAAACCAATCAATGTATCTCTCTCACATAGATGATTCTCTCCCTCTTTGTCTCCCTCCCTTCACCTCCCTCTGAAAACAAATACGTATTTTTTTAAAAAGCATCTTTGCATGTGTGTGTGCATGTGTCTGTACATGCATGTCTGAGGGAAAAATTTCCATTCAGAACATGGAATGCCAATCTTGTGCTTTCCGCTGGTTTAAAGCTTACCCCGCACTCACTAGTTTCTAAAGCCTTTTGCGTTTACCCTGTTGGCTTTGGGCCCAGATGCTACATCATTTTTTAAGTTCAAAGTGAGCCAGAAAAAAAATCCACCCATCCACACGCGATTACTTCAGTTCTGCAACTATTGCTATCTTTGTTGGCAACAGACAAACGAGACCCTTTCACTTAAATCAATCAAAACTTCATCTTTAGGCCGGGAGTTCAATACATTCATGCACAGCTTAACAGCAGGAATATGTTCTGGGAAATGTGTCTTTAGGTGGTTTCTCTGTTATGAGGATATCACAGAGTGCACTTGCACAAATCCAGAGGGCAAAGCCTACCCCACACCGAGGCTGCACAGCATGGCCTATTGCTCCAAGGCTACAAACCGTGAGATTAAATCCAGAGTAAGAGAAGACAATGCAATCAAGAGACGTGGTAAATACGAGATGAGGGAGGCTGCTTCCAGCGTAACATGGCACATAGGTTTATAGAAAACTTTTTTTTATATGTAGGAAGAGTTCACTATAAAAAAATGAAAAGAGTATAGTCTAGTAAATGCATAAACCAGTAACGTAGTCATGTATTGTCATTATCGAGCATTATGTGCTGTGCGTAGTTTTCTGGGCTATGCTTTCATATGACTGGCGGTGCAGCGGGTTTGTCCACAGCAGCCTCACCACAAACAAGTGAGCAATGAGTTGCCCTGCAACACTATGAGATCACTAGGGGACAGGAATGTTCCAGCTCTGTTATAATCTTATGGGACCACCATTTAGATGAGGTTACTAGTTGACTTTATTATAAGCGATTGCAAGTTTGTTTCTGTGTGTTTTTAAAGTTCTCACCTCCTTAAATAGAAGAGTAAAATCATTGTCTGGAACTATTAAGAGACGATTCAGGTAAATATTGACAAGGGGGAAATAAAACACTCCAGGTTCAAAGCTCTAGTTGTTTTTCTTTAACATCATTTACCTGCCCATAACCTCTGATGAGGTTCCATTTCCTTGGACTGTCTTCACACAGGACTTGAGAGGACTCTTCTTGTTCCCCAAACAGGGCAGCAATAAATCTCCTGATATGGCAGGATCTCACAGGAAGTGATTTCTGGAATTTGGAAGGAGGATTGTGTGGTTGCCAGAGACGTCATCATAGGTGCTGCATGGCACAGGGCGGAGGGCAGAGGGGTGACACAGTACACCTGACAGGTGAGTTCTGTTGACAATCCACATGAAACGCAGGCTGGGTTCGAGGTGAGGCATGCGCAGCTCTCCCCTGAGGAGGGGGAGACTGTGGGCAGCAGGGCCGACTCCTGAGAGCCTGTGATATTGCTGGGAAAGGGTAATGAAATGATTCATGAAAGAGGCCTTCAAGAGTTCTTCCCGCAAAGGAAAGCAAGTCTGGAACTCTCACCTCAGGAGGAGGCTCGGGGCACATCAGTCTTGATCTTTTAAGCTACGTATGTAAAGGGAGGCTATCACCAAGGCACTGTTTAAAAAATGGTAAGACAGTATTATGTGGCGGATCTGATTCCAGACATATCTCTCACAAGCAGCTGGGCAGAGATGCACACGCACAGGCCACCCAGAGGAGGGTAGAGGGGCAGCCATGGTCAACAGAAGTGCCATGGAAACCAGCCCAGTGATGCTTCTCTGCTCTGGTGAGAAAAGCCCGCATCCTCCTGGAGCTCAGAGGCTCCTGGGGTAGTCCACATGGATGGATTTTTCCACAGAGCAGCCCCCTGGCCCTGGCAAGCTGTTTCAAAAGCACCCGTCACTAGTGGAAGATTACAAGAGGAAGCATGTAAATGGCTGGAGGCAGCCCTCTGCTCCTGGCAGTAAAAAGTCAGAGCGAAGTTCATATCCCACGGGTGGAGGGTGTCCACATGGGGACGTGGGGGGATGAGGGCAGGCTCAGGTTCAGTCAGTTGTGGATGCCAACACCCTTAGCCACTGCTGACACCTCCCAGCTGCTTGTCTTTTCAGAGCACAGTATGCCAAATTGGACAGAGGAAGGAAAAAATGCAGTAAAGCATCCATTTCCATGCTACATGGCTTCAACACAGTGAGTGTATCTTTCCCCTCTAATGAACAGAACTTGTATATCCAAATGGAAGCTTTCCTTAAAGGTTCTGAGCTTCAGGAAGTTATTCCCCACGATGTTTATGCATCCAAACACTTAGCATTCTCCTCTTCGGGGTGGGGGTGGGGCGTCTAGAGCCCTCTCACGAGCCACACAAGAAAGTCTCCTTGGTGAACTTACAACCCCACTGTGTGCTAGGCCTGACACAGGGGGACCCGACAACCCCACTGTGTGCTGGGCTTGATTTCCTGCTGGTTTGACTTCACACCTGATTCTGTAGACTCATCCCCTCATTGTTTTATTCCCCCTCAAAGGATTTCCATCATTAAATATACACAAAATATGTACCACATGTTTGATTTCCACTCATAAAGCAACAACTCCCAGGATCTTCTCAGCAGCCTGGGGTCCCGTGCAGCAGAGGCTGCCGAGCCCCGAAGGCACCGCCAGGCGGACTCTGTTGTGTCGCTGACAACTGCTGGCTGCGGTCCAGTCTCCCTTACTTGGTTCTGCCACACGCCCCATCTTCTGTGTCCCTGAAACACTCTTCTGATTTGTCTCTGCATCTGCTTCAATGCACAACCCGGAGAACTTCTAGCATCGCAGAATAAATAACATGCCCATCGGCTGCTTTCTTTGGGGGCAAACTCAGGTTCTGTCCCTTCTGAGGTAGCCCACTGGTCACAAACAGGGTGGTAAACCTAATTCCTCCCATGTATGGTCTGGGTGGTCAACAATATTGGAATCCCTAAGATCAAATGAGCATGTTTCAAAAGCAGCTTCTTTGTGTCAAACTTAGACTCCCAGGAACATTTCCCTGGGTTTTCAAGGGAACACGTGGACCTAGAAAACGCCGTGTGTCTGTGGAGGTGCACGCTCACACTCTCCCGAGCTGGGGATCCCAGAAGAAGACAAGCTCACTCAGAAGAGTGAGAAAAGTGAAATGGCTTTGAAGGGGAATTTTGGGCCAAATCCTTGGGGATGCCACCCACAGTGGGCAGGGGCAAGAGAGGGGTTAAAATGGTAAGGGGAGACCCGCAGGCAGGGGCCCACACTGTCTCCTGCAGCGGGAGCCGCTTCCCATGAAGCAGAGCCCCTGGCATGTCCCCGCCTTTCCCTCTGAGGACGAGCATCTCCCCTGAGACAAGCCAGAAGCCAGTCCTTTCCCACACTAACAAAGCATTTTTCAAGGGATAGATAAATATCCCTTTCACCATGTGAATAGTCAGACTGAAAACAAGAAGCCCCGGAGAACAGAGGCAAGATGACCAGGGCCCGGAGGCTGAGTGGCCATCCCGGCAGCAGCAGGAGCCTGAAGGCCAGAGGCCAGAGGCCAGAGAAGGCGTCTGCCTCCCAGGAAGGGCTGACCCCAGGTCCTGGCAGGGGAGCGATGGCCTTCGAAAGGAACCCAGTGTTTGCCTGGCAAATACTTTTGAACGTACTGTATTTGTTTGCTTTAACTAGTAGTCAATTTGGCTGCAATTTCGTCATGTTGCACATCTTGGAGTAATCTCGTAATCCTTCGGTGTGAAGTCTCTACTGAAGAATCTAGAAGAATCCCAATAAATACGAATGTTCAGGGCACAGTAGATTGTACTCGATTGCCTACTTACTCTTTTCTCCCACATAGACTAAAGGATTTGAGAAAGTTATTGGCAAAACTAATCACACACACGTGAAAGACACAGTAGGCTGTTAAAAAATATCAGTTAACTGGAAAAAAAATCCTTCACTGCACATTCAAGAGTGGAAACCTGTGCTGCTTTTCTTCCAAATAGGATTCTGTAAAAGGCTCCCTCACCTCTAAGCTGCATCAAAGGTCACTTTGCAGTTTAAAGGGAGCCTTGTCTTCAAACTAAATAAAAGATCAACCTTCAATTCACAAGTGAGCAAGAGAAGATGGGAAGAAAAGGAGCTTCACAGAGCATAACATTGAAGTTTTTCTCACCAAAACGCCATCCCAGCAGTGAGAGTGATAACTACAGCAGGGACACCCAGGAAGGACACCCCTGTTTTCTTCCTGTAGAATAAACCTGTGAAAGGACTCAGTCCTGAGCAGTGATAAAGCGGCAGCGCTGAGGGGCGGGGCTTGCTGCTCCCTGGGCGTGGCTGGCGTGCTGCCTTCGGCCTGCAAGTCCCTCCCCCTCCCTGTCTCCCTGAAAACAGGGCTCTCTCAAACCCGCCTCATCTCCCTCCTTTTCCTTGACACTCGAGGCTACAGGGATCTCTCCTTTTCTCTTACATCCTGCGGGATGATGGTCCGTGCCTTTCACTTAGCACTTTTTCTTGAAGTTTTATGGGAGAAGAGGACCTACCGCACAAGGTACTGTCAGAACCCAAACTTCCACCTCTTTTAATAAAATACTTTTCAAAATCAAAAAGATTTTTAAGACACGATAGAATGAATCCCAGTGGAAGAATTTCAGGCATCGTGCCAACCATGGAGAAGTTTTGGGTGGCATGAAATAGTGCCGAATTAAATCTGTCACATCTGTATCTAATTCTGTCACTTGTTTTTAAGGACAGTTCTGGACCTGTGCCTTATTTATCCATCCAACAAGTATTCATAAAGCACTAATATGTGGAACACCGCGGGGGATATGAAAATAAGTGAATCACGGTCTCTAGGAAGTAGCCGAGACAAAGCTTTGGGACCGCTGCACATCGCCATGACGACTTGCACCTGGGGAACGGACCAGGCATTGCAGGATAGAGGGCCGCGCAGTAGCTGGGAAATCCGGCCGAACCGATAGCAGGTTTTCTGTCCCTTTAAATCAGGTGCTCCTTAAATATGAATTTTCCTACTAATGCCATGAGGAGTGTTATGTTTTCTTCCTCCTGGGGGCACACGGTAGAATTATGCTTTTGAACAGAAGCAAATTGAAGGATGGTGGTACTTAAGAAATAGCTTTAAATGGGTCTTTGTTTGAATCCTTGAATACTAGTAACGGTGAACACATATACAGCTCTTATCATGCACCATAAATTCTTCTGAATGTTTCACACATACTATTTTTGTTCATCGTCGCAATAATCCTCAACAGTCCTATGAGGCAGGCAGCATTATTCCTACTTTCAAGAAGAGGAAGATGAGCCCCAGGAAGGCTAGCTCCTCACCTGAGACCACATAGCTAGTAAGTCACAAAGGCAGGAGATGAACAGAACAAGGCTTGGCTCCAGAATCTGTGCTCTTAACCACAGTGCCACGCTGCCTCCATTTTTCTGCCTGTAAAAGAAGGAAATACCCTACAACTTAGATATTGCTATTATTCAGAAGGTTGTCGTGGCTTACCAAATGACCTCCTTAACCTGGTCGTGCAGAGACTGAGCCTAACCTGCATCTTCAGCCTTATGTTCTCCTCTCCTCCCTAACCAACTGCCACCCAGCCCTTCACTGAAGCCAGCGCCAGCTCCCAGGCCTCTGCTCACGCAGGTCCATCCGAAACCTCTGCTATGGCTCCTGTTAGTCCCATCAACGAATGCCCCTTCTTGAAGGCCCGGTCCCATAATACTCCTGCCGCACTCCGAGCTTCTGTAATATTTATCCCATTCAGGTAAAGTGCTCTTTGCCTTTCCTTCTGGTTTTCCCTCGTTACCTTGAAACTATTTTTTTAAATATATTTTATTGATTATGCCATTACATTTGTTCTATTTCCCCCCTTCATTCCCCTCCACCCTGCACACACCCTCCCCCTCTCTTCCCCCCTTTAGTTTATGACCACATGTCTTAAGTTCTTTAGATTCTATATTTCCCCTACTATTCTTGCCCTCCCCCCATCTATTTTCTATCTACTGTCTATGCTACTTATTTTCTGTACCTTCTCCCCCCTTCTCCTCCTCCCATTCCCCTGTTGCTAACTCTCCATGTGATCTTCATTTCTATGTTTCCACTCCTGATCTAGCTGTCCTCTCAGTTTGCTTTTGTTTTAGGTGTGGTTGTTAATAACTGTGAGTTTGCTGTCCTTTCACTGTTCATGCTTTTTTAATTTCTTTTTCTTAGGTAAGTCCCTTTAACATTTCATATAATAAGGGCTTGGTGATGATGAACTCCTTGAATTTGATCTTATCTGAGAAGCACTTTATCTGCCCTTTCATTCTAAATGACAGCTTTGCTGGATAGAACAATCTTGGATGTAGGTCTTTGGATTTTATGACTTGGAATACCTCTTTCCAGCCCCTTCTTGCCTGTAAGGTCTCTTTTGATCCGCTGACAGTCTGATGGGAACTCCTTTGTAGGTGACTGTCTCCTTAGCTCTTGCTGCTTCTAGGATTCTCTCCTTCATTTTAATCTTGGCTAATGTAATGATGATGTGCCTTGGTGTGTTCCTTCTTGGGTCCAACTTCTTTGGGACTCTCTGAGCTTCCTGGATTTCCTGGAAGTCTATTTCCTTTGCCAGATTGGGGAAGTCCTCCTTTATTATTTGTTCAAATAAGTTTTCCACTGGTGGCTGTTCCTCTTCCCCTTCTGGTACCCCTATAATTCGGATGTTGGAACGTTTAAAGATGTCCTGGAGGTTCCTTAGCCTCTCCTCATTTTTTTGAATTCTTGTTTCTTCATCCTTTTCTGTTTGGTTATTTTTTTCCTTTATTCTGGTCTGCTCCCTTGATTTGAGTCCCAGTTTCCTTTCCATCACTATTGGTTTCCTGTGCAATTACCTTCATTTCAATTAGTTTAGCCTTCATATGTTCCTCTAATTTGTGACTAAAGTCAACCAGTTCTGTGAGCATCCTGATCACCAGTGTTTTGAACTGTGCATCTGAAAGTTTTGCTATTTCTTGGTCGCTTAGAGTTATTGGCTCTGGGGCTTTGAGCTGTTCTTCTTGAGCCATAATGTTTTATCTGTTCGTGCCTGTTACGTATGAGGATCGGAGCCTTAGATGTTCACCAGGGCAAATCTACTCAGGTCACTGGTTTGTGACGCTGTATGTGGGGGCGGGGTCAGAGAGGGACAATAGCGGTCCCCTCTGCCGCTTCCTGCGGATGGGGCCTGTGTGGTCTGTCCCACTGCTTGCTCCCTCACCGGCCATCCGCAAGCAAATGTATGACCACGGTCAGCCCCCAGTGGGTTGGCCCACTGCTACTCCACACCTGGGATCCACCCACTGTCCACATGCCTGGGTCGTGCGCCTGGGTTCATCCACTGGATTTTTCCTGCCCAACCCCGTTCTGCTGCTGGCTCTGCCCTTCTTACTGGTTTGGCTGAATGGTTCGTTGTTGTCAGACTTCCATATAGTTCAATTTTCTGTGGTTTGGCTGTGTTTTTGTTGCTAAAACTTTGTTGTTTTTAAACTTGGTTGTGAGAGAAGGCACAGTGTTTCCACCTATACCTCCATCTTAGCGGAAGTTCTCCACCTTGCAACTATTTAGTTGAAGAGGCCATGTGTCATTTTTATCTGCCTTCCATAGGCCTAGGACATCGGCTGCAAGAGGCCTCCCCATTGAATGGGTGCTCTTTAGTGCCCATGTCACTTCCTGACTCTGTGTCCACATCCATGCCCTCACCCCTCCACACATCCAAGACACTGAGCCTCTTAACGTTTTTAATTTAGACAGTGAGACTTCAAGGAATATTTTCAGGCTCAGCTCTCCATTCATGCATTCATTCGACAAGTATTTCTTCAGTACCTACTATGTGCCTGGGACAAAGTGTGAGGAAGGCAGACATGGGGCCTGCTTTCATGGACCATGCATCCTAGTTAATGTTCTGAGACAACTGCAAAATAAAGAGACTCTGTGGGTGCAACATGCAAGCTACAGAGGTTGCATGTGACCGGAGTGCACCTGTTAGAGTCGCTATGGATGTAGACGCCACCCCTCCATCCCATTGCAAACCTGTTAGTTCAGAGGGCACCTTCCTGATGCAGTGTTTCCAATGTTTTTGTGCTTATTGAGCAGCCTGCTAAGTGCTGAGCACTGTGCTAAGGGCTTCGGCTTGTTTAATCCTAACAACAATCTCCGTAAGGTATCACACTACTATTATCTCTATTGTCCAATGCAATTAAGTAACATGCCCAAGAACAATCTTACATATACAAGAAGCTTGTCAGCAATGTAGCATTGTCGTAGTTTTTAGTAGAATATTAAACTCTTTGAATTTTTTATGATACTTCAGTGTAGTATAACGTGAAGAGTGGAGAGAAAACCAAGGCAGTGTCCCTAACCTGAGGAAGGGGTCATAACTGTCTTCCTCCAGGAAGGACCGTGGACTGCTGGTGCGTCAGAGGGAGCAAGCTGAGTTTCTAGCCAAACTGCAGCTAGAAAGGGAGGGTTGCAGCTCCTCCCTCACAGGCTCTTCTCTGAAACGGGGAGGGTGTCCTTCAAGTTAATACATGATTAACCTTCGATTTTTACTGTAAATGGTATCCTACTAGATGAAAGTCCTCTATTCATTAATAAAGCCATCACATTTTAATCTTTGCAAGCAAGTGAATACCCACTCTCCATTTGCATATATACTACTAAATATCAAAGGGAAAACAGGGATTTGAGGATTAACTGGAATCCCTTCGGGATCCTCTGAAGCCACAGATAAGGCAGTCTGTGCAGTGAAGGCATCCACACAGCCCTGGCAGCCCAGGGCCGTGTGCATGTGGAGGCCATGGAATCCCACCTGACCCGGACACTGGAAATCAAAACCGGCAGAATAATAATTCTGAAGTGAGCATGTCCTGTACTCATTTCTCCAAGCCTTCCTTGGAGATATTCAGTAGATATAGAGATTATCTATAATAACATAGACATTAAAACCAAATAATATCTATTAAAAGGTTAGAATTTAAATACCTGAATGTAGAAGGATGCAAACTAGAAAATTCATCAACAAATAAATGAAGAAAAATATCTTGATCGATTTCTCTAAAAACTTTCTTTGTATGGAAAATATTTTCTCTGTTCATTATCAGTGTAAGTGTATTTACCTTGTTGGATCTTTTGGGAATGGCCCTTCTTAGAGGCGCTCTAACAGCTCTGCTAAATTTGCTTTAAAAAGAAAGAGAGAGAATTAATTACTGTTCAAAGCCTCTCCAGGAGTTGGATGACAAAGGCCCAGGCAGTCACTACACAGCAGTATGACTTTTTTTGTAATACAGTGGTAATTTAAAAAAGAAAAAGTCAAAGCAATTGAGAGTTCCTTTTGTGGGAAAGGACCTTAGTAAGCATAAATGAATGCATTAAAGGTTTCTTTTTCTCAAAATTATACCCCAGGAAATGTGCATTTACCTCCTTAAGTAATAAAAAAAAAAGAAAAGTATTTTCCCCTGAGGACCAACCATGGTTTTCTAAATTTAGAAATGGCCGCCTCTCCAGTTAAAGGAGAAGCCACCCTTTTACTAAAATGTAACACTTCTTGTAAAAACTGCTCTTAAATAGATGCCTGATGTTATGTCTCATTTTTAAATCTGCAACAGAAAAAAATAAGAAAATGACCATATAAGGCAATTGTGTTCCAAAACATTCTAAAGGAATAGAGATTTAACTAACAGAAACTAATGGTTGCTGCTTGATCTAGCTGCAGAAAGACTCCACACCTTTCTCCAAGTGCCTATGGCAGCCCTGGGTGTACCTGACTGAGCTGGCTTCACTGGCTGGGGACTTCCAGCTAGGGAGCCGCTTTAGCCTGGGCAGCTTTCGGTTCCATAGTTCTAACTCCTCTATTCTTTCTTCAAGGTCATTGGTTAGTTTGCAGAGCTGCTTCATTGCACTTACATTTTCCATAAAGACCCAGTCCTAAAAATAAAAATAATACAAAGTATAAAAATTTATAAAATTGAGACTACCAGAGAACATACTGTCCATGGCCCATTCAAAGACAGTTGGAACACACCACTGAAAATAGTTATGCTCAACCTCAAGTTCATTCAAGATATATCTGGAGAGGTTTGCAGCTTAAAGTGGTCTTGCTAAACTGCTGGCTGCATAGTAAAACTGCTTATGCTCACTTTGCAATAAAGTGGAAATATGTCCTCTTAACCCAAGAGAGGGAATGGAGCTAAAGGACATTGTCAAGTTTGGAATCTGAAAAATTATTTTCATTGGCCATGATGCTATATTTAAAACTCATAAAAAGAAAGAGCAGGCTTCTGAACATTGACTTGTGCATGTATCACTAAATTCTCATTAGAAAGGACCCTAGTTCTTCCTGGTAAAATGTGCATCGAAGTGCTCAGGTGAAGAAAGGAGGAATGAGGGCCTGGGTTTGTCTCTGATTTCTGTGTCTCACTAGATGTGAGACTAAGCTAAAACCTAACAACTTCTCTGAGCTTCAGTTTCTTCATTTGTAAAAGGACACAAAAATTCCTGGGGTGTTAATTTTTGCTTTAACATGAGCTGTCACGTATTTTTCAGTCTAACTCCCTCCCAAACAAAATTTCAAACAACAGTAATACTAAATTCTCTCTGTTCAGAGAAAGGCATGTCAGAAAGACAGGAAAGGGGAAACAAACCAAAGGCAGAGTGTATAAGCCTTCCCTTCACCGCCCACGCACTCCAGTTGGCGCAGGAACAAGTGTGTCCGTGTCTCAGCCTGGAAAGCTCTCAGCAGCTCACACCCGACCCCATGACCTCCCCTCCTTTCCCACCCCCGTTTACAAGTTCAGAATGCCACTGCACTCTCTGCGGCTCACCGCGGCTGGTCTACCACTGTGAAGGAGTGAGCTAGAGGCCAAACAAGAAAGACCCTTTTGCGGTTAGGGGATCATACTGAAAGGTGTGTGAGTGTGTCTTTAAGATTCCCATCATGCAAACCAAAGCTTTAAGTGTTTCAATAGCTGTAAAGCAACCACTCAGAAAGGATTTCAAAGCTGAACATAATGGACTTAAGGCTCAGTTCATACAGTTTAAAGACATGCACACTGCTACAGAACAGACTGGTCAAGGTACATATATGGTCCATATTTGAATACTCTAAGACTGATACAATGGTATATAAATCACTTACCTCTAGGATAAAGGCTAAAGAAAAAATATTAAAAATAACTACAGCTACAATAATTTGCTAATGGTACACACATTTAAAGAGGTAAATGATAACATCAAAAACATAAATGGGTAGAGTTTTTGTATACACATGTGACCAAAGTTAAGTTGCTAGCTGCCAAAAACACCATAAGGCATTCCACATAAGCCTGATGGTAACATGGTAACCACAAAGCGCAAACTTGGAGTAGATACAAAAATGGTAAAGAGAAGAGAAACAAACATACCACTGTAGGAAATCATCAGTTCACAAAGGAAGACAGCAAAAGAAGAAAAGAACAAGAGGAATACAAAACAGCCAGAAAACAATACGGCGGCATTATTAAATCCTTACCTATTAATAATTGTCTTAAACAAAAATGGATTAAATTCTCTAATCAAAAGGCAGAGAGTGTATGAATGGATTTTAAAAAAGAGAGAGAGAGAACAGGACCCAAAGCTTTGCTGCCTACCAGAGACTCAAGTCAGCTTCAGGGCACAGGCAGACTCCGGGTGAAAGGATGGGAAAAGATTCTAATGGAAACCAAAGGGAGCAGGTGTAGCTAATCAGATATCAGATAACATGGGATTCAAGTCAAAAACCCTAACAAGAGACAAAGGTCATTACGGAAAGATACAAGGGCCATCAGTTCGCCCAGAGGCTATTATAGTTGTAAATATACATGCACCCAGATTCAGCCTGAGATGAATGACCTCCGGGGATGTGATTGCAGCAAGGTCACAACAGTTAGCAAAGCTTATTATAGACTTGGTAACGCTGAGAGAGTTGTAGGGAAGCAGGATCTTGCCGCCCCAAAATATGTCTCATTGGCATGAGGATTATTTTAGGCTGATTATTTTTAAGAAACAAAAGACTCAGGAAGAGCTTCTTACCTCCCCCTTAAATGCCTAAAATAATTTAGATGGAGGGCCTGTTTCACGAAGATGAGCTATCACCAGAGGTTACCACGAAGACTAGGATCCAGGTGCAGTCGACAGGGCGGGGCGGGAGGTGGAAGGGGTTGGAGGAGCGAGGAAAGGAGGGGTGAACTCAGCAGGGCCTGCTTGTTCCGAGTCCTCCCCGCGCCTCATTGTCTCCACTTGCCATAGCAAACATCCGTCTACCAAACATTTGTTTTTTCTTCTTCATGTAAATTGCCTTCCTCCCCTTTGAAGTCCCAGATTTCTACCCCTTTCTCTATCCCTCTGGATGGCAGATAAGCCTCAACTGCCTGATTGTCTCTGGGCCTTCATATTCTTCTGGAGCAAAATCACGTACAAAATTAAGCCTGGGTTTTTCTCCTCTCATCTGGCCCACATCAATGTGGTCCTGAAACCAGGCAGAACAATCTATAAGGATAGAGGAGAAACTTTTCCTCCTCAACAGAGCAAATCTTAAATGTTCTCGCTACACATACACAGAAGTTAACTATGTGAGGCAATGGATGTGTTAACTGTCCTCACAGCAGTCGTCACTTTGCAACATACATGCGTGTCCAGTAATCATGTTGTATAACTTAAACAGTGTTATATGTCAATTATTTCTCAATTCCATTATGAGGGAGGACCCTTTATTTAAGTAAAATAAGGTTGGACATGAATTGATAACTGGAATCTGAGTGAAGTTATATATATGGGTTTCATCACTATTGTCTCTATCTTGTATATTTGAAACTTTTCATTAAAAATGTTAAAAATAAATCACAAAACAAAACAAAACAAAAATCTCCTGACCAAAGCTCTTCTAAAAGTTCTAATTCTGGTACAGAGTTTCTTTTACTTCTCTATTTGTTTTAATAAATGTATGGCAGAGATCATGAAATGATCTATGGTTCTAAATCAAAGTAAATGTCATTGGACTTTATGCCATAATTATAACTGCAGCATTTAGTGGCTCAGGTGGTCAGCTGACGCCCACCCAACAGTCCAAATCAGGCTCCCAGCCGCCCCCTCTGGCTTCTCCCCTGCCTGCTCCCTGACAGGCAGTCGGTCCACCCACGTGCTAGCAGTTCAGCGGCCTCCATCTCCCGAGTCTACCCATTTCTCTGCATCCTCACTGGCACTCAGCATACCTACTATACATATTTTTATTTTTCTTGGCGACTGGCTTGTTTTTTAAAAAGCTTCCTTGATACATTATTTGTGATTTGGCCCCAACCAAACAGACCATGGGGAAAGAAGCTCAAGTCCTCTCTAAACCACAGCTGGTTCTTTGCAGCACCTCCCTAACCGGACTTGACCACGACCTCACGAGATCAGAGTGATGGCTGCATTGTCCAGACTTGTCATTAATAATAAAAAGCCATCTCTGATCTCACCAACTCAAATTTGCCGGCATCATACATCTTCCAGGTAGATCCAATAGGCCAGAAAATAATTCATGTGCTGGTCTGTTCAAGAGGAAATGGAGGTGGAGAGGGAATTTACTCAGGCCTTCCTAATTACAATGAAGGCCCTGGCTTTAAGGATCCAATGGGAAAATACCAAAAAACTTCTAGGGCATGTTATGGGGACCACTCTTACTAAAATACTGTGACACCTGTCCTCTATCATCATACCGAAGCCAGTGCGGGGGGGCGAAAGTCACCTTACAGTTGTGCATCTGTGAAGCAGAGTCGATTTTTGTATTATAATTTTTATTCATTATTGTATTTTTATTTGTATAACAACTGTGAACCTGGTTTTGCCCACCCCTGTATAAATATGTTCAAAAATTCACCTAGAATTTTCTGAAAATGTCCTTTTCTCTGCAAGTGAATAGTCTTGATGAGTTCATTTTAACCACGAATGTGCACCTGAGGGGCTTTTTCTAAATACACATCCAGGTCCCCCCAGAGGCTTGTTTGTGTTCATGAAGAATGAGGCGGGGCGTCCAAAGGCAGGGCATTTTGAAAAGCTTCCCCATCAGATGCCCACTGTTTGTTCAAAACTATTTTATCATTGAACCTACTTGAATTACTCAACTCTGTCTCGCTACGATTGACCATTTTACCTCAGCAGAAATGTAACTTTGCAGTTGGGATGCAAAAATGATTAACCGGCTTGCCTGCCAAATTGCTCGTGGGATTGGGGTGTGGGCGGAAGTGGAAACCGCTTCAGATCACACACGTCTCCTCCCTGCTGCAGATGGGCTTTGGGGCACGGGCACACACACAGCGAGTGTGTACATTCTGAAGGGATGCGTCGGGCGGTTTGGCAAGGACACCAGCCCGTGGAACAACGCGGAGGCAGTTGAGAAAGCGGAGCTGCTATCCAGCTCAGAGGGGTCCCTCATCTAAGCGTTGTCTTCACACTCTGTGCTCCAATCCTACGGAACCGTTTGCCCTTCACTGAACTGGCAGAGGCTTCTCCCTTCCCCCGAACCACCTGTTCTGCCCTCTTCCCACCTTCCTTACGCTTAGTGCCCTGTTTACCTGCAGTGTAAACACCCAGCAACCGCCCCCATATCATGTCCACAGCCAGTTCTCCAGCACAGAACAGTAACTCAGTGTATGTTTGATGACCTAATGAATGAATGAATGAATGTACTCATATTCTTACCAGGGCAGTTCATGCTATGAGGCATTGAGAGGTCATAGCATTGCACTCTAGTAAGATTGAAGAGACTGGCAAAACTTCCAGTTTATTTTTGCTATCTCAGGTTTCTCTCTCTCAGAAAAATAATGCTAATGTCCAGATCCCCATGTTAGAAAATGCCCATGGGCTCTGACTTCCGCCAAGATGGAGGCATAGGTGGAAACACTTTACCTTCTCGCACAACCAAATCTAAAACC